CACTTAACCAACTGAGCCACTCAGGCGCCCCCCCCCATAATATTTAACATCTCTGAGACCAAAATGTATCCTACAACCCACGGCATCTTAAATTTGGTTAAATACACTACTGTTCTGCAATGTACTATTTTTACTTGTTAATATGGGTCATGATTCCAAACCAGCACTGCCTCCAGGATGATCTTTCTAAAGTATGAAGAGTCAGGTCAGTACCTTCCCCCAAATTCTTCAAAGCGCCCCCCCACCTCATGCTCCAGGCCCTCATTTTCTGACTCTGTCCTACTTTGCCAGTCTCCTTTCCAGCACATCCACACACATTGTCTTCCTTAAAGCCAAGTAGTTCTATTTGCAGTTAGTTCCCCAAATATGCCGTGCTGAGCCAGATCTTTGTGCTTTTGCATAATGTTTCCTCTGCCTCTTCCTTATCTCTTCTACTCAAAGTTGCCCCTTACTGGAAAATTGCCCTGATTGCCCAGGCTAAGCCTGGGTTCTTCCTTTATGCACTGCCCCTCAACTTCTCCAGCATCTGGCGCACATATCTGTTAAATCACTTAGAACAGGTTCATGCCGTTTCTCTTGTTTGTTGCTCCCAATGCATAGTGAGTTCTCGAGCATGCTTTCTTCTTAATATGCATTTCTAGTAGTGCCTGAACAGCATGGCTCCTCCATAAATATTTCTGGAAATAATGAACTGTACATGAGAGAGGCATAAAAACGCTCCCTGAGGGAAGGTGAAGAACATTGTCATTAATCATCCTGTAACCTGGGACAAGAGAGAGAAAAAGGAGGTGAGAAGGTCTGGGTGCTAAGGCCGTGTGCACCCAGAAATCTAAAGCAATTGGATTTTTTTCCTTCTCTTTCCCGGCTTCTGCTCCTCAGACCTACTCATTCCACCCTTAACTAAAGATAATCTGATTCCAACAACCATGCCTTGATGAGCCCTTTCTTTTTCCCTAGTCCTTTTAAGTGCTTCAAGTCCATAGCATCACTCCTCCTTGCCACAAGACCCCTTTTTTTAGCCAGAAGTTTTGAAAAATACCAAAGGGGGCAGGGAGGTTCTTTCCACTTGCCTCTCGAAAATACCCACCTGAATTTACCATTTGGACTCCCTCCTGCCCTAGGTGTGGACACGCCTCACAGTCCCATCAAGACTCCACACCAGGAAATAAACACAAAAGGAAGCTAAAATTTAATACAAAATTTTTATTTTAATAACCATTCTAAAAGCTTGACGTTAATGTTTCACCTCAGCAAAAACCACTATCCCCCTTCTCAACCCAGTTATTGGGTTTGAATTGCAGAAAATGCCAAAAATAGACAAAAACTTTTCCCAGTTCTTCTTTTTCACCTAGATAATTTAAAGCCAAGGATTCCAATTCGTTCATGGAAAACTACCAGGGTACTACTGGGGACTTAAGATGAAGCTCAGCTAACGTTGTCTATGTGGCAGTTGTCTATGTTGACAACTGTAGGGCCAACGTACTTTCAATACCGTCCCTTAGCAAATAGGACAGGGACTCATGAAACAACCAAAAACAGTAGCGCAGAAGGAAAAGTGGAAAAAGAAGGGGGAGTATAGGAGAGAAAAGGGGTACGACAGGGCAGGAGGAAAATAGACTTTATGATAGGAAAGGTAGCCTAGGGGAGGGCATGGAACCACAAAAATAAATAGATAAAACAATGAAAGTATCTTGGGCATGGAAACAGGACTGTCAAACAGGCTCTCAAAGACCTCAGTTAAAGAGAGGGCCAGACCAAGAAGTGGACAGACAGATCAAACAAAAGGGAAAAGCAGCTGTTAGGAAAAGCTCTGTGTCTTGAGGCCAATGACAAAGACAGCTCTGGTGCACAAATGGACTTGGAATTGGAAAGTCTACAGCCTCTCCACGGAGAATGAGAGTCAAGCGGCCATTCTAAGGTTTGGAGCAGTGGGGTCAAATCAGGCAAGCTTGCAACATGCTTACTACTTCCAACGTGGGGAACCTTCCATTCGGGGAGAAAAGGCAACACTGCTCAAGCCAACACAGAAGGGACTGTACAAAAATCTCTTCTGTTCACAAACTTTGCAGTAAATAAAAACTAACACTAGACAACAAATACCTTCACTGCATGATTCCCGTTCCTTTAAAGCTGCTGGGGCAATCAACTATCAAACTGAGTTTTCCTTAACGTGAGACAATTACTAGGAAAAAGAAAGGCTGAACCCAACCCCTAACTTCCAGAGTGATTTCTCTTTTCAGTACAGACTTAGGTGTATTTGGATGCCTGAGGAGCAGCCCGGGCAGTTTGTCTAGATGAAGAAAAGCTTGTTTGGGGTGCAAACTGAGTTCCCCCGACCTCGATACTGCCTTAGGGAATCTGAAATTCCCTACCCCAGGGCGTTAATAAAGGCATCTTTCTGGGACACCGCAGCATGCCAGTAAATTTACACCTTCCTCCCCCTGCCAACGGCTTTCGCCAGAACTTCTGCCGCACAGAGAGAGGGCAGGAACGGATTTTCCACGCTTTCGTTTCCTACGTGGCCGAGACCCAAAGGAGCGGCCGGTCGCTTACCTGCCTCGTCTGTCCCCGCCCGGGAGGGGCTGCGCGTTCCGCAGAGCGGCGCGCTGTCGGCTCCAGCTGGCCGGCGACTCACCTACCGCGCTCTCTCTGGCTGGGAGCAGCCTGACTCATCTGGGAGAGGTGGCAGGGCTGGGGAGACCTCAGAGGGCGGAAGGACAGGAGGAGGCGGGCCGGGCCCTTCCCCCAGAGCCGGGGAGGAGGCGTCGCCAGGACGCAGGTGAAACCGACTCCGACCTATCCCGGGAACTTTCGCTGCGGGGACTCGCTGCGAGAGGCCCGCGTCGCGCAGGGGCGGCCGAGGAGCCGCCCTCTCCTATCCGGGCTGCGTGCGGGGGGCTCAACCCGGGGGCCTCTGCCCGGGGGAACCCACGCGGCTCGTGGCGCGCTCGGGGCCCGCAAGCAGCGCCGCCCTCCTCGGCTGATGGAGGCGGGTGGCGCCGCCCCGGGCGCAGGTGACCCACGACAGGCCAGGGTTTCGGCTGGCAGAGGGGAGCGCAGGGAGGGCGAAAAGCTGACACCCGGGGCCAGGAGACGACAAGGCAGCGATGGCCCGAGAGTTAAGCCAGGAGGCACTACTGGATTTTCTGTGCCAGGCCGGGGGAAGAGTGACCAACGCCGCCTTGCTGAGCCACTTCAAGAGCTTTCTCCGAGACCCCGACGCGCCCCCCAGCCAGCACCAGCGCCGCCGCGAGCTCTTCAAGGGCTTCGTCAACTCGGTCGCCGCAGTGCGCCAGGACCCCGACGGCACCAAGTATGTGGTGCTCAAGAGGAGGTACAGGGACCTTTTGGGGGAGGAGGGGCTGCAGCGACCCCGAGACCCGCCCGCGGCCGCGGCCCCTGCAGGGGGAGCTGCGTCCTGCGCCCCGCAAGGCGCGCGCGGGGGAGAGCAGCCGCTGCCCAGGCGGCGGCGGCGGCGCGAGAAGGAGCCAGAGGAGGAGCCAGCAGGTGCCGCAGCCCCGGCCGCCCACTCAGGTTGCAGTGGACTCGCAGCCCGCCGCACCCGGGAGGCAGCCCGGGGAGGCGGCGGGCGGAGGGGCGGCTCTGGCCCCGGGGCGGGAGCGAGGTGCGCCGCTGCGGAGACACAGGGCCGCTGCTGCTGGGAATGCCTCCAGAACAGCCTGGAGGGACTGCCGGGAGAGCAGGTGCTCGGTGCAGTCCCGGGCCCCGCCACCGCCGGGGAGAAGCCGGCGAGTGCCCCGCCGGCCCAGGATGACCGCGGGGCTCCCAGGCGGCAGCCGGAAGGCGCGCCCGCAGAGCACGCACGGGTGCCCGCGGCGCCCTGCTCGCCTCCTACAACTGTCGAGGCTGCCGGGAGCCGGGCTTCGCCGCCTGCTCTCCTGTCCCGCCCTGTTTCCCCCGGAGACCCGCCAGAGCTGTTGACCCTGGACTCTCTGCATTATCCCACCCTGCAGCAGCAGCAACAGCGCACTTGGGAATTGGAGGCCAGACATCCCCAGATTCCCAAGGCCCGGGACCAAGGCCCCATCCGAGCCTGGTCGGTCCTGCCGGACAACTTCCTCCAGCTACCCTCAGAGCTGAGCTTCTGGGTCCGGGAACCTAACTCAGAGCCTCCAGACCCCACTCTTCCCTCTCATTCTGTCCTTTCTGTTGTTCCGGAATCCTGTCCCGAGAACCCTCCATTGGCAGTCTTTCGTAGCATTCGTTGTCAGCTGTCCCTGCAAGATCTGGAAGACTTTGTGGACCAAGAGAGCCACGGCAGTGAGGAGAGCAGCAGTGGGCCCAAAGAGTCTCCTGGGGGTTCTGAAGAGGGGCTGCAGGTTGCTCTGGGAACCCCAGATTGGAGAAAGCTTAGGAATCCAGCTGGAGGTCTTTCTCCAAAGGAGGGCAGCCCCAGCAAGAGCCTTCAGGGCCTCAGGAACAGAGGGGATGGTCACACCTCTCAACTGGTCTCGACAGAGGCTAATGGCCTTGCAGACCACCCCCAGGAGTCTTTGCCCTGGCCAGCTCCCAGGTTAAGGAGATCCCTCAGGAGGAGCTCTCAGGCAGGGAGAACCAAATTGTCTTCTTCTGATGAGGAGTATCTTGAGCAGGACTTGCTGAAAAGGACTCGGCGCCCACCGCGGCCCAGGAAACCCTCCAAGGCAGGAACAGCATCCAGCCCAAGAGTGGATGCTGCTTTGATACCCAAACCTACAGACATTAAGGCTTCTGTAGCTGAGCGGGGTCGGCCACACACCTCCTGGGCCGGGGCTGGAGAGGAGTCTGCAGCCTTGGTCCCACACAGACCTTCTGAGCACAAGTCATCTGTGGTCCCCCTGGATGCCAGGGAGCACGAATGGATTGTGAAGCTTGCCAGTGGCTCTTGGATTCAGGTGTTGACTTTGTTTTGGGAGGACCCCCAGCTGGCTCTGCACAAAGATTTCTTGACTGGGTACACTGCCTTGCACTGGATAGCCAAACATGGTGACCTCAGGGCCCTTCAGGACTTTGTCTCCAGCACACAGAAAGCAGGGATTGCTCTTGATGTCAATGTGAAGTCCAGTTGTGGATATACCCCTCTGCACCTTGCAGCCATTCATGGCCACCAGGGGGTCATCAAATTGCTAGTGCAAAGGTTGGCTTCTCAGGTGAACGTCCGGGACAGCAGTGGGAAGAAGCCATGGCAGTATCTGACCAGTAATACCTCTGGGGAGATATGGCAGCTACTGGAAGCCCCTCGGGGCAGGCCCATTTTTCCTGTCTATCCTTTAGTCCGAAGCTCTTCCCCCACCAGGAAGGCCAAGAGCCGGGAAATATCAAGAAATATCACCCGGAAGACTTCCTTTGCTGCACTCCTCAAAAATCAGCACAGCAAATGGAAATTGGCCAACCAGTGTGAGAAATTCCCCAATCCAAGGGAAAGAGAAGAGTACAGTGACTGAGGTGGTCCCGTCTTTCGAGCATGCAGCCACCACACCCTCATCCTTGAGCTGTTGGGTGAGAAAATTCGTGGGCAATAGAAAAATTGCTGAGGACTTGGTAAGGAAGAGATCGTGTGAGATGGCCTGCCTAGGGTTTACCTGCCTGGATTTTATGTCAGCACATCCCAGACAGCAGGGGTCATCCAAGCTCTCCGACCGCTCAAGTCTTGGGGCCAGTGAAACCTAGACACAGGGCAGAGGCAGGTGCTTAAAACCCAGGAAGTATTCTTCCCCTTCCCTTGCCAGCACAGACCTGGGCACAGGGAGCCACACTGTTTTCCGAAGCAGCTACTCCAGGCCTTGGCTACAGAGGGAACAGATGTCTAAGAAAAAGGGAGGCAATTCAAGGGATTGACGAATCCCAAAATCCTCTCTGGCTAATAGCTCTCTAGCTTCTATTTGTTTGGACTGTAAATCTTGGCTGAGAGTGGAAAGCACCAGGTTTGAAATCAGATGGCTCCTGTTTTCTCCTTTTTTCTCTTTTTCTTCCCTCCTTCATCCCTCCTTCTTTCCTCCCTCTCTCCCTTCTTTCTCTCTCTCTCTCCCTTCCTTCCTTCCTCCCTCCCTCCCTCCCTCTCTCCTTTCCTTCCTTCCTTCCTTCTTCCCTTCCTTCCTCCCTCCCTCCCTTCCTCCCTCCCTCTCTCCTTTCCTTCCTCTCTTCCTTCCTTCCTTCCTTCTTCCCTCCCTCCCTCCCTTCCTTCATTCCTTTCTTCCCGAATCAGTGAAAATAAAATTATTACTGGAGGGTAGAACTTGATTTAAGAGATTCCTCAGCCTTGTCTTCGGGTCTTCCTTTGAATGCAACCTAAGGTGGCTAATGTGTGAGATGATTAGTGCCTTGTTGGGGTCTCTTCTCCACGATCAAAAAAGCAGTTAGATAAGATCCAGTTATGACTGACATTCAGGCCCTGCTTTAAAAAAAAAAAAAAATCAACCTAAGGGAAACTTTTCAAATGTAAAAGCTGATGGTTCATTTGCGTAGTTGCTGAAACCATCTTTCCTGGAAACTCCCTGTGTAACAAATGGCAAAATCAGCATCAGTAGTTCTCAATAGGATTGAATGGCCAACATTCATATTATGGGGAAGCAGTAAGGGTTAAGAGGTGAATGCTCCCCCACGAGGAATTTTCTAAGCTGCTAAAAATGTAATTTTATTTGCACTAAACTTAATGCCAATTAAGATTAAATATTAGCCTTGAAGTGCTGTATCTGTAACAGGACGTGTTCCTTTTAATTGCTTGTGATGGGACTGTGGAATGAGAGAATGGCTACTCGTAAGTTGCAATAGAATATCAAGATTTCAGAATATAAATTTAAAGAGGGCTGAAAAGTTAAATGTCCATATGGAAATTGTTAATTTTTTGTGGAATGTTTTCATGTGCTGTGGCAATGATGTTGTGTTTTCACAGTATTTGTGTGTTTCTTCTGGGTATTTTTCCCCATTAAAATATCAACACAACTTTATAAGTTCTTGTACTTACGCCAATTACTGTTAACTTTCTTCTTTACAAAATTGCGTTTCAATGAGTGTCAAATATTTTTCTTTCTTTGGAGTTTTACTTTATAATTTTGCTGAAATAAATCTATCTCTGTTCTATGAGAAAACAAACACAAGATAGATATAATAAATAAGTCTAAGCATTGTTTCTTCCAAAAAGACCCGTATAAGAGATGAAGTTTGGCAAATCAAATCAAGAAAAAAGCAATACCCCAGACAGTGGGGGCATGGTTAGGAGAGATGAAATTTGAAAGAATAAAAGATAAACAACTATATAAATACTCTAGTGAGTGATTTTCAAGGAAAAAAAATCTTAAGTATCAACTTCCTTTTAAAAGACAAAGAATATTTTTACTTTATCATATTTTCATCACAAGATCAATGTATTCAATGAATATGTTTGCCTAGTACTGTGGCGTTTACAAAGGTAAGTGGGATGTGACCTCACCCTTCTTGAAATGTAAAATCTAACAATTCATCTTAACTTAAAATCTAATGAGATTTGTTGCTATTGATTTATACCTTATCTTGCTCCCAGGGTGTCTCTTAAAGCTGCATTGTATTAGACACAAGTTTTGAAATGAGACAAAGAGACAAAAAGCGGTACCAGGAATGAGGAAAAAGCAACCACAATGCAAGAAAAAATTTTCCAAAGTGTCCTAAGTACAAAATTAAGTGCTCCAGAGACTTTCAGAGGAGAGATTTCCTTGGGCTG